TCTTTCCTAGGTCACTTAGCAAGTACAGTTTTTTCCTATGTTTATGTATAAAATCATTCTAATTTTTCAGATGTTCTATAGTTTTTGTCTGTTGAACTGATAGCAGTTACTTTATTTTTCCTTAACTGTTCATATTCAATGCTATTAAATAGTTTTAAGGATCACATGGCTTCATTCTTGAATTGTAATTATCGTGCAGGTTTTGTGAAATAACTAGTAACTTATTATTCATCATTTTCCCTTTAGCTCTATTTAGTAGGAAAATTAAATTTTGATTTGATTTTATCATCTTTACCTCCCTCTTCTGGTAGAATGTGGTAGTGACGCTGTGTGTATGCCTACATGTACACAGGGTAGCCTTCCCTGTACTAGCTACTGTGTATCTTTACATACTTTATACTCCAAGCCTCAAAACTGGCTTGACCTGGTTTTGCTGATTTCTTCAAAGGTACATTTAAGCAGAGGTTTCTTCATTTATTTGTCAAGTTATTACTGCTATTATACTTATAACATCAATTTTTACCTGAAGAGTGCAGGTAACTTGAAATCAAGATTATCGTGAGAATTTCTATCTTCAGATAGATGGTTAGCTGGTCCAAAAATCCTTAACCTCAGAGAGCTGGGAGAAGCTTCAATTTAAGCACTGTTTGACCACTGAATTTTACATTTAGAAATCTTGTATGGTAATTTCTTATTTGTGATGATAAGTAGGAAGAAACACTACTCACGTGGCAGGTTGTATGTGACTTCCAGCTCAGTACCTGCCTCTCAGAAGAAAGCGAAATATTTGTAACATTAGGAGCAGAACATAACTAAAAGACGTTGTGATGTCCATCCCATTGCAGTAAAGAGATGAATGCACCTAGAATTTGGACTGGAAATTCAAAGGCGGCTTCTCTCTTCTAGAAGTATTTTTGTGTGGCTTTATGAGTCTACTTAGGTGGTTTAGGAATGATGTTATGTGATAATCTAAAGGTGGCAGAGGGGCGGCAATTGAATCTGTTACAGCCATATTCTTACCTGAGCATTTGAGAGATATAAATGGGATTTACAAGTAAACCGATGTGCAATGCATTTTTATTTGTAGTTGGATCAAGTCCAGTTGCTTCAGCTGCTGCCCCTGTTGCACCTCCACCACCGCCACCTCCTCCTCCACCACCACTTCCTCCCCCTGGTCTACAACAGAGGATGTCTGCAATTGAGCTCATTAAAGAAAGGAAAAACAAAAAAACAAACTCTGGACAGCATCTGACAGAAAATGGGCCAAAGAAATCTGAAATACCAAACATGCTGGAAATTCTCAAAGACATGAACAGCGTGAAACTACGCTCAGTGAAAAGGTAATAAATATAAATAAGAATCAATGTATTGATGTTTGCATTAACAGTATGTTTTTATGACTTAGAACTATTTCAAGGTGAGACAGATGCTGGTGTGACATCTGACAAACAGAATGCAAAAGCATTCACTTCTAAAGCTTTGTTTTGGACTATGTTCATGCTTCTCATTTTCTTTTCTAGATCATCAGAAGGTACAAAATCTAAAGTGGCTGACCCTACAGATCCTGCAGCGTTAATAGCAGAAGCTCTCAAAAAGAAATTTGCTTATCGATACCGAAATGATAGCCAAAGTGAAACAGAAAAAGTGATTCCAAAGACTGAAACAAAGACAAAGACTGAGGTCGTGCTGGTGAGTATCATGATTCTGAACACATGCTTGGGCTAAATTATATTTGTCATAAAACCCAACGTGTGTCTTTCTGCCAACATATGCAAATACCTATGAGCTAGCATCCCTGTCCACAAACCCCTATGAAGTACTGCTGATACACCAGGATTTGTGGCAATCATACGTTTTTTGTATCAAGGCTTAAGATTGCATCCTCTTTTGGCCCTAGGTTTAAAAAGCCCTGTTACAGTTTTCTTATTTTTTTTAAAACAAAAATCTTTTCTGTTGCCACAAGCATGCAATGTTCTGAAAACTTAATTCCTAAGGGCTCGTATCAAATCTGGTTTGATTTGGTACTGTATCAGAAAACAGAATGGAGTTTGCCTGTTACTGCCAACCTTAACCATTCAGACAGTACATGTGAAATTTTGAAGCCAGCCGTTCCTAGGAATGCAGAAAGTAAATGGTTCAGAATGCCTGCTGGATCTTGGTATAAGGACTGTATTCTAATAATTGGAAATGCTGAGTAAATAAGCAGTTTCTTTACAGTGTGAGAATGTTAAAATGAAATTGCATTTAAAATTCTCATCATGGTACAAGTTAATAGCTTCTGGTTTATTTCAGATTGATTTGAAATTTGAGTAAGGGATTTTTAAGTAAGTGGTGAGTGTTCAAGATGCAAGTTTCTAGCAATATACAGTTGCTTAAAAAATGGGCTAGTATAGATCAGTTTTGTTAGTAAGCAGTCCTTGAAGCCTTGTGCTATACAACTAGAGAAGAATAATAAAGAGTTGTTTTTCCCTTTCTGTGTTTGGAAAAATGCACGTGAAAACTCCAAAAGAGCTGTCTGCACTCTGAATTAACTAAAAGGCTAGATATTCCCCAAGAATCAACCACTTTTTTCCCCAGCATCGCTGGGACTTCAAGTGTTTTATTCACACATGGGGTTTTTATGACACTCCACTTTTGAAATTTACAGTCACACTTTTGAGATTGGGAGATTAAGGGTCATCAAGTCCTCAAAAGCTAAGAAAATGGAAGGTTTTCATTTGCTAAATGATAGAATGTTGATCCATAATGAGCTAATAAACATCTGTCAGTCCTCGTATGATCTTCTTGTATGATACAGTTTTTAAAAGGATTTGCACAAAAATGTGGGATAAAGCAAGAACAGAAATACTGTTAAACTGCTGCTAGAGCAACTGGTTGTCAAATTCTGAAGATAACTGCATGTATCATCTTCTTTTGTTCTACTAGAGTGAACTATCTGTAGTCAGAGCTGCTCCAGCAGATGGTTAGCTGCCTCATCTGAGTGCTTTCAGCTTATTGCTGACACAAGTTTCCCTTTAACTTAATGGCTACAAAGTGGGTGAAATCCACGTGCAGAGAAGCAGGTTGATAAAGGAATTTATCTCTGCCCAAGTTCTTGTGAGGAAGAGATATTTTCTAAGTTTTACTTACAACTTGCATGGATAATAGTTCAGCTAGGTTTCTGCTCAAAGCAATCTGAACATGTTTCTCCTTTCCTTCTCAGTTTGGACCGCACATGCTGAAGTCTACAGGAAAAATGAAGACTTTAATTGAAAAATCTTAAAATATTAAGATCACTACATGAAAGACTGTTTGTTTTAAGCTGTTTTGTGTGAAATCTTTTATGTCGCAAATAGCACGAGTACCGAGTGGTCTCTTACAACACAGGAAAAAAACTAATGTGAAACGTAGAATTGAGGCACTAAACATGTTTGTATGTGATTTATCAAGGGGAATAAATTTGACCATTATACTCAGGTATTAATTTTCTATTCCAACCTGGCCTTCTACTCAGACTTATGTGGTGGTTTTTGTTTATTAACACTAAGTTATATATACAACATTGTTTGTGCATAACTGACCACCTTAAAAATTTGTGTACGTTAATAATTGATAGTGATACATCCTTAAGTTAATATCAGTTATTTGAGCTCTAACTATAACTTGCACTACAATGTTTAGTTTAATACTGAATTTTTCATGTCAAAGTCTTTCTTTTAAACTTAATTTTAGCAAATTTTTAGCCCAAAGAAAACCTGAATGCATTCTGCTTCGTACTGAAAGTGAAAAAGCTGCTGCAGAGGTCACCTGGTATGAGACATTTTAAGCAGCAGCACATTTTCGTGCAGAGTTTTTGTTTTGTTTCAAATGAGCTTGCAAGGGTAAGAGAGCAAAACCTACTTGTATCATCCTCTGGCCACTGTAAAGAGTGCATGACAAGTCTGATCCTGCTGGGGGAGCCTCTGTGAGTAGGTAGTCCAGTGAATTTAAAATAACCACTAGATAGCAGCAGAGTAAAATGATTAATGTCAGAGCATGTGGTAATTAGCATAGGAGTGGTGTAGGTAAGAAAAAAAAATATGCAGTACTGTGGGGTGCAAGCTGCCAAAAGTATATTGTTCATCTCAGCTGTGCTAATTGATACTCACAGACACCTTTTTATCCCCAGCTATCTTGAGTCCCCAGATGGGTTTCTAGCAGTTGGGGGCTGCACAAGCCCTCATAGTCCTATGTGCAGGGAAGAGGTAGTACAAGCTGTTGCACGTAACCGGTTTTCCAGGGGAAGCACTTTTGGGGACTTCCCTTAGCAGCTACTTGCTGCCAGACCTGTACAGATCTCGTTCGTTAACCAGCCACCTGAGCTGATGTCTCCAGCCACAGGTGTAGAAAGGGCTGGTTGAAAAAAGCTGTTGAGGAACCAGAGAGCACACTTCTAGGAAGCCAAGGTTTGCTCTGGCCATAGAAAAAGCTGAGTCTGGGTATTTCAAGTTTTCTAAGTTGATCTGGCTGCTGGAACAAGTACAAGTGCCTCTGTTTTCTAGGAAAAGGAAAAAGCAGCACTTTTTAACTGAAGAGAGACAGCTGAAGGGCTCTGACTGGGTTACTGAAGATGACTGAAACTTTGCTGCTTTATAACTGGAATGGATTGCATGATTGCGGAGGATGTCATCTTGAAAGTGTTAATATGTACACAATGTAACTTCCTTCCAAAACGCTATGCCATCAGTCCTACTGACAGGCCATTAAATCTTTCTGTTCTTTTAAATGCCTTTAAAACCCCTTTTCAGAAGTTAATTTTGGTTTCAAGTTTTGTATTTAATGCTTTATTGCCACTATGTAAAATTAAAAGCAGTTAAAATAAACATTGCGTATGTGATTTGTGGTACTCGACAAACAATAGCAGCCACCATAAAGTATAGTTTACATTCTGTTATAGTGACCAGAGATGAATGTAGCAACAACTTACTTGCATCTCTTCCAGGACTGGACAACTTACCTCGCTGTGCAGCAGGAGTAACAGTAGAGTTAATCATAGAACAGCACAGTAGTATTATTCAGTTACACTCAGATTAAAAAAAAAAGATCCGGAACCAGTGAGAAGTTTATGTCTCACCACAAACATAGCAGGAAGGTACTCAGCGAATGGTCTCTATCCCTTGGTACACTGGGGTGGCACAACGACCCCCCCTCCCGAAAGGCCACAGCTTCAGAATAGCTCGCCCAGAACCCCTCTGCTGAAGTCCTCCTCTTCTTTCAGAGACACAGCCTCTGTCGAAAGTCAGGGTTCAAATGAAGTAACCCGGTCCAATCAAGTCATTAACTTTTAAAATTCAGGACACCCCTTGACCTACTGAAGTAGGCTAGAACATAAGAAAAACCCCCACCAAACATGCTCAGTTTGAACTGCTGATGTGAGATGCATGTATCCAGCACCCCAGAAATACAACAACATGCAGCAAGCCTTATTAGTGTTGTAAAATTACGGTAAAAGAAATGTCACCTGCACAAGCAAATAAAACCACAAAGCTGCCCTCAAGTAACTTATTTCATACCTTTCTGTAACTTAATTTGTATCTTTCTACATGAAAGCTTTTACCTATGCAATGCCAGTGCCCACAGAAAAGTATCTCAGGCTGAAGTCGTCAAACTAAGGACATTGATGTGCACTGGGCAGAGACCTTCGCGTAACCTACGACCTGTTTGTACCTGCCTGTCTACATGAGTGACTAGCGCAGGAACAGCGCTGTAGGTTAAAACAATGCATGGCAGGGACCCAGCCTCTGTCCCGTGACGCATTTCTGGACGTGGGTGGGCTGCCTGGCTGTTGCATACGCTCCTGGCATACGCATGCTCTCAGCTCTCACATGAAACGTTTAAGCTGTAGGAACGATGAAATTCAATGTAGATTTGTAGAAGGCATTTCTAGACAACATGCTCAAGAAAAGGCATTAATTTTGGGGGGTTTTGAGTTTTTTTGTGGGGTTTTTTTGGTTTTTTTTTTTTTTTTAATTCAGTTAAATGTCAGAAGCTTCCACATACACCAATAGATGGGATTAGAACCAGTCTTTCTAAATCCAGTCTGGCAGAAAAAGACAGAAGCCCCTTTCCAGGAAAGGTGGCTTAGAACAAAACCACTGTTTTATTCTAGCACCTTGACAAGCTGTACTGGTTCCTCTCGGAGCAGATGACAGCAAGATTACACAATGTTAAAGAGTAACAGGTTGTTTACCAATATTATATTGAAATATTGCTATATACATATTTGTAGATTCATTAATTTTAATTTTCATTAAAAGTACATACTAAAATATGCTTATAAATAGCCTCCAACAAGTAGCGAAATTTATATTGCTGTTGGGACCCTGTCTTTTAACCAGGTCACATTTAAAAAAAACACCAAAAAACTGACATTATCAGATACTGATTTTAGTGGTTGTTTTGAAAATAGCTGCAGGCTTGGAATATGCTTTATTCAAAAACATCAAAGAGGAATCAATACTTTTCCACATTTAACCCTACGAGTCTGTGCAGCCTGTAAGGAAGCTTAGCTGCAGTGTCTCTGTAGTAAGTGACTCCTACACAGCCACCACCTCTTTGGCCAGCCAGCACTGGCAAGTATCACCCTTTCAAAGACAACCTGCTAAAATAAGGGCTTTCCTGTTACTGCAAGTTATAACCAAAGCTCATTATCACATTTGATCCTTCTCTGTTGGAGTCAGACAACAGCAAGAACTTGCACTGACAGCAAAGGAAGGAAGTTCACACAGGTTCAAAAAATGGTTTCATTATAAATTTATTTCTTTAAACATGGCCACTTTGAGATTAATGATACTCCAGGGAACATGAAAGAATAATGAACAACTTAATTTCCGATGGGAAACAATCAGGTAAGTCAGGATCTGCTTTTCAAACAGTAAAAGTCCAAGCTCCAAGAGGCAACAAGTTTTGGCATATGAGGACTAGTATTTTCAAATCCAAAAGTTGGCTTAGTTTTACAGTGGAAGCTGACTATAACCTTAGCTATCTTTCCATAATGCTGGACTCGGTCATAACTTAAATGTACAGGAACATAATGTGAAAAGATTTTTTTGTTTTTATTAATTAAAAGTTAACAGCAACAGGCACATATTAAAATGAATATGGCAAAGCCTTTACAAATGGCTTTACGCTGAAGCTCTCCCAAAAATGGCTGTTGCAACAAACTGTAAACAGAATTAATAAACAGTCTTTTACAATAACAACAGGGAAATACAAATTAACTAAAAGAAAGCACCAGTTTCTCAAACTAGATTACAGTTGTGCTTACTGTACTTAAAACAATGTAAAACAAATTACAAAAATGGAATGTTTTAAGTTTAAAATTAGTCCTTTAATTTTGTCCTAAAAAACATCTTCTCCTTTTCCCATCAAAAACCCATCAGTGGGTGATGTTTCTGTAGAGGGAGGAATACGTAAACAATGCACTTTTTTTTTTTTTTCAAATCAAAAACAAATTTGGTCACTTAGCTTTGTGCATAGTTTAAGGCATCTGTAGCAATTTGTTACAGTTTCCTCCCCAATGTGGCTGTTCATGAAATTGTCACATTCTAAAAGAATAAATAAAAAAAAAATAATAATAATGTTGCTGTTCAAACCCTTCCCGGGTATCCTCCCACCCTCCCCTGTCCCAAACATACTCACACACCCACACATACACACACGCTGCAGCGAAAGGGGCATTTGTACCCTTGTTCTGAAGGACACGCTTCCCATCCCATTTTATTTCAGATTGGCAAATACCCTGAGCTGATTATGGTGTTTAGACATTCCACCTTTTTCTTGCATGTGCAGTTCAAGTGTACAATAGTGAAAACAACATGCGATGTTTCCACTGCAGGATCACAATGCAGTTCGGACGCTTCCCCCCACCCCCACCCCTTCCCTTCCCAAATTCAGAAGTGTTTTCTGCCATTAAAAAAACTGCATTCCCATACAGCACTGGAGTAAAGCTTGGCTGTGCTCTATGATGAATGCTCAGTTCCCAGTGCACAAACAAAATTATGGCAAATGGGAGGCTTTTCTGGCATCCAAAGAAACAAGAGCTGCAGTCTCAGATTTGATCTTTTTCTTTTAAAAAAGCAAAAAAACCAAGTTAGTGGTTCCTTCACAGCCATGCGCAAAGGTTAAGTCTAGAACCGATAGTTTCAGAGTACATTTGTAAACATCAAGTCTTGCCAGAGGCAGCAGAGGATGGGCACTTCACATTTCCGTATTAAAACAGGGACTGAGTGGAAGGTTTTGCTTTGAACAGATTTATGCAAGTCTTGCTAAATTCCAAGAAAGTGGAACAATCCATGTCAAGTCTTAGATTTGAAGACCGTATTCCAAATTTCACCAATAAACCAAGACCATATGGCACAATGAAGTTTTCGTACTGTTCCTTCAAGGCTCAGTCACTGCTGTGCTTTGCATATTCAAGGTTCCGAACGAAAACCAACTGAGGTGTATGCATATTGCTCTATGTTCAGAACTTGCAGTTTAAAAAAATTCTGGTTCAAATGGTCTGTGTCAAAGGAAAACTTGGAAATAAATAATGCTGGCATCATTTTACCATTTTACCAAAACCTTGGGCAGGCAAGTATCTCCTTTAATGCAACCGTGCAGATACCAAGAGAAGAGGCAGTTTTGTCATGAAGACTGAGGTCAGGACAATCGAGGTTCCTGAGGTAATATGTCTGAGTCCATTTCCTCAAAAGCGGGGTCAACGTCGTCACCACTGCCAGACTGTTCCCTCTGCACTCCCTTCCAGCTAGCCTTGTTCAGTCCCAGGTGGCCAAGCATTGTCTGTGAGAGCCTGGTGTTTGAAAACCGGGCCCATTCCCCAAACAGTGGCTCCACTAAGTAGGTCATAAAACCTTCGAAAACAAGCAAACAAACATATTCAAGTGAAAAAAAACAGGGCAAAAACCCCACTCTAACTATTTTAAATACAACTTAGTAGAAAAAAATAAACAATGAATCAGACTATTCTTCTCCAGCGTGCATTTAACAATTCCTTTCAATATTTAGGGCTTCTTTACAAAATAATGTCTCAAAATGTAAAAGATTTTACTGGTCAGTCAAAAGAACAACATTATATTGGATTACCAATCAACCTCCTTTCTTTCACAACAAGGACCAAAGGAAAATATTGGAGAACATGGGGAGAGAATCTAAACATCAGCAATTGAGTCACAGAAACTACTTTAGAAAACCTAAATTTCTAAAAGACAGATTTTATAACACATTACCCCACAGACAGTCTGAACAATATTACAGGGGGAAAAAACCCCATTCTCTTCACAAATATTAAGCTGATTAAAAATAATGAAAAATACAAATTAGAGAAATTGTTAAACAAAAAGTCCACAGAACATCAACATATAAGCATTTATATACATGTTTGCGTGTATGCGGATGTGCACATATTTATGTCTATTTCCATGAACCAAAAAATTCAACAGTAAGAATACCAAAATTGAATCTGTCAATTACAGAAATGTATCATTGTCTAACATTATAAATTAAAACAGTACAGCTAATTGAACAGATACATTTGTCTCTAATTTCAAGCACTAATTCATATTATGTTTGTTAAATTGATTATTTTCTTTACTATGTTTTCAGTTGAGTCCCATTCAATCTACATGAACAACTTTATTTAAGAAAAAACTATAAAAAGTCAGCCCTTTTGCTAATTTAAATTCAACTCAAGTTAGCAAAAACATTACTATAATGGCTATTCACAGTTCTCCATCAACTCTCTGCCCACCACCCTTTTTAAGACTGCATTTAGAAGGAATGCTAACTTTCCAGAGAGCTGAACCCAGCGAGCTGGAACCCTGTTGTGGCAACCTCGCTGCGAAAGGCACCTGAGACTGCACGGACAAGGGAACAAATTCTCCTGCTCTCCCCAAACTGGTCACTTCAGATGAGGAAAGTTCTCGGCAGCAGCACAGGAGAAGTCAGACAGCTGCTTCCCATGCTGTACCTGCTCTGTGAGAAAACACGGGGGCTTCAGTCTCCAGGACTGTCACCACAGCACCTTTCGTAAATACTTAATTCAAGGGAGAAATGTTTATATAGCAAATTGAAAAACATTGCTCTTTTTAACTAAGTGCTGCCACACACAGACACAGAGCACATGTAACCACTAGGAAATGCATCTAAAACGTACTTTTTTCACATTACACCCTGAAAGAAATGTACTAAAATAAATTGAACTGCAGTTACCAATCTGGATGTTGGCAATAGTTTCCGTCTGTCGGTCACAAAGTGGACTCACACCCAAGTGATATTTTTTTTCAATATCTCCTAAAGAAATAAAAATATAATACAACTATTAAGTCATTAAGTCCAGACCCAAATGGAAATCAAACACTGATAGAGGCGAGTTGTGCAAGTTGGATGCAAGGATGGTATCTTGCAGCAAGGTGAATGCATTTACTTCCCTCCTCCATCTCCCCAAAAAAACAAAGTAGCTCTGTCACAGAGACTAACAGTACTTTGTATTTTTCATCAAACAATAATTAAAAAAAAAAAATCAGATCACAGGTTTCCTGAAGGATTAACACACTTCGTTGCAAAACCTCCCAGACTGCCACAGAAATGATAAATTAAGATCCCCCCTTGGTAATCTGAAAGAAAATAGCTTAGCCTTCAGAAATCTCTCACTGAAGGCACTTTGTGGTTCAGCTTCCCCACCACATATATCTCAGAATAAGCTTCACATGATTAGCACCAGTTAAAGCAGTCTGTTCCCCATTTATTGGATCCATGAACAAATAAGCATGTCTCAAGCAAGTCAGACTAGCCTTAAGAAAGGAGAAGCACACTTATTATTAAAACAACTTAATAATAATGGAGAAAATTCACTCCATTTCATAGAATCATGAAGGAAGGGACCTTTAAAGGTCATCTAGTCCAACCACCCTGCAATGAGCAGGGACATGGTTGCTCAGAGCCTCACCTCAAACCTCATCTAGTCCAACTTGACCTTGAATGTTGCCAGGAATGGGGCATCTACCACCTCTCAGGGCAACCTGTGCCAGTGTTTCATCACCCTCATTGTCAAAAATGCCTTCCTGCCCTCTTTTAGTTTAAAACCATTACTGCTTGTCTTATCGCAACAGGCCCTGCTAAAAAGTCTGTCCCCATCTTTCTTATAAGCCCCCTTTAAGTACTAGAAGGCTGCAAGAAGGTGTCCCCGGAGCCTTCTCTTCTCCAGGCTGAACAACCCCAACTCTCTCAGCCTGTCCTCAGAGGAGAGGTGTTCCATGATCCCTCTGATCATTTTTGTGGCCCTCCTCTGGGCCCGCTCCAACAGGTCCATGTCTTTCCTGTGCTGAGGGCTCCAGAGCTGGACGCAGGACTCCAGGTGGGGTCTCCCCAGAGCAGAGCAGAGGGGCAGGATCACCTCCCTTGACCTGCTGGCCACACTGCTTTGGATGCAGCCCAGGGTATGGTTGGGCTTCCAGGCTGTGAGCACACGTTGCTAGCTCATGTCCAGCTTTTCGTCCACCATACTGCCAGGTCCTTGTCAGCAGGGCTGCTCTCAATCCCTTCATTCCCCAGCTTGTACCGATACCGGGGGTTTTCCTGGTACAGGGACCCAGGTACAGGCCCTGTACTTGGCCTTGTTGAACCTCATGAGGTTCACACAGGCCTACTTTTCCAGGTCCCTCTGTATGGCATCCCATCCCTCAGGCATGTCAACCGCACCACTCAGCTTGGTGTTGTCTGCAAACTTGGTGAGAGTGCTGGTCCTGATACGGACCCCTGAGGGACACTGCTCATCACCAATCTCCATATGGACACTGAGCCATTGACTACTACCCTCTGGATGTGACCATCCAATTTATTTTGATTTGTAATTTGTCAGTAAAAGCCTTGTTAACTGTTTACATAAGTAGCCTTAACTGCATGGTAAGTAAAAATCTCATCCCTAACTCTTACCTGCTTTACCAACAGGCCTCACAGCCAAAGTTTAAATATTGAAGATACATGATGAATATAGGTAAATGTCAAGGCAGCATAATCATTCACCCGAAGCACCTTTCAGGCTGAAGGATTTATTGAATTAGCCATTTTAGATTCAGATTCTAAGTAGATTCTTCACTGTGTTTTAGTAACACCGACCTTTTGCAAGAAGTACAACCCATGAAATTAAAAAAACCTCATACTCTACTGTAAATCTCTAATAGTCCTAAATATGAATCCCTTTATTTGCAAGCAGCCGTGACTCACAGTCGCTCTTCTTCACAGTATAAATACCTTATGTACCAACAGATACTTCCACTCGTACTTGCCTTGATGGAAGAACTCCTCTGTTACTTTTTCACTCCATTGCTTACTCAGCTCCCACGTCCGACATGGATTACAAATGTCAGCACACTTCAAAGCCATCTGAGTAAGTTAACACACGGTGTTAGATCAGTTCTCCACCCAATAGAAGCATCTCTATTTATTTATTTCCTGACAGCAGATTATTTTAAGTTTTGTGAATAACAAACCTACCTACCATTTGTGCTTCTCTCTAAACTTATGTTTTATAATCATATTTAAAAAACACTCAGGGAACTATCAGATCTCATGATCATCTCTGAGTAATATGGAAATTTAATCAAGTCAAAGTATTTCAGGGGCACTATATTTAGTATATTCACTAGTACAGGAGACAACAATAAATTCAGAAAAAGAAACATCACAGTAAGCAACATTTTCTATGTTGCATTTCTGGCTCTGAAGTTCCCATTTTTAACAAAGGTTTGCACAGGACTGACCTTATCTATTTGTCTATTTTTTTATTTTATAGTCCACAACTTGAAGTTAATAGAAATCTCTGTAAACCTAAAGAGACTCTCAAGGCTTCTGCTTTTAAAGCTTGCTAAACCTCTCTCTAGCACAGCTGCAAACAGGTTCAGAACAGTAGTGCTTTCTTTTCCTGAAATAGGTTCTGACAAAGCATTTCACAGTTCTGATACCGTACCGGAATCATCAGAAGAACTAAGCCTCTTCTTGGAAACACAACTCTCCTTGGTTTAGCAACTCTGAATTATCAGACTTACCAACACACAACATCACCTAGGTGAAGTGCTGGGGGGAAGGTGGGATGGGGGCGTGGGGAGATATGGAAGTGGAGGGAACAACCTTTTTGTAATGAAACAAAATGACTAAAAGATATTTCTACTTCATTTTGAATGTAGAAGATAGCCTAGAAGTAGGATTTAGCATTTTAAGTAAATTATTTTTGATGCTAAAATGGTATTTTCAAAAACGTTACCAAAAAGATCACCTGTAAAATGAAGTGACGATGGTTCGCATTCTCTAAACATAGGTCTCCTCTATCCAAATGGGACCGAAACATGGACAGATACTCATTTTGCTGACTGATGTCTGTGGCAAGAATGAGATCACCTATCTGGCTTTCCATCAGCTGCCTGAAATTAGTGACACCAAACATTCACAAAGCATAACAATTAAGAACAACAGCCATCACTAGATTTACATGTCTTTTTATCATATTCACTATTATACAAATACAAGTCACAAGCTTTAAAATCAGCATTTTAACTAAACTGGGTTTTCATTTTTTTGTTGTCTTCCCTATCTGAAAAATTCCTACAGCATCCATAGAAATAAAGATGTTTCATTGGCAGCAGTCAGGAAGACTAAAAGAGTTTTTAGCTTTCCTCCCCTTATTTTTTCCTTAAAAATGCACAAACTGTTTTTTTTAAAGCTTATTTCTTGTTGAAGTAGGTGAAGAGGGTCTATTTTAAGCTACAGTTGTGGTAGCAGAATGAGAAAAGTCTGCCAAGTTTAATCTAAACAGGTGTGTGACTATATGAATACGTTTCTTCAATGTGCTCACAGTAAATGTTATTTTCCGAATATCACATTGCACCATGACCTGTTCCACTTACAACAGAATCACAAATTTTTAAAATAGATCACAATCTATGTTTTGTACTCAGAACTGCCATGCAATAATTTAGCTTGTTTTGCAAGGCTGTCTTAAGTGACAGCTTGCTTACATCTTAAACTAATCTATACTATTTTGTATAAACATACCTGTTCTCTAATGACATATGTGCAAATAAACCAGACTCTCTCAGCAACCCCACCGCTGATCTCCAGTGATGGTTCTCTAATACTGAGGTATTCTGCAAATGCAAAGGGTATTACAGGTATCAATCAATGACTTTTTCTTAATCTGAAGAGCAATATACTAAGAGCAGCACCAGACAGTTTTTCATTGGGTTTTGGTGGTGGTGTTTTTCTTTCTTCCCCCCTCCTCGAGGTTAAAACTCACAAATCCTGAATACTTCGTGTTAGCATGCATACTTTTTTTATCCCAGAGGCATGGAATCAATATCTGGATTCAAACCTATCACTAGCTAAACACATCACAATTTATACTCTCTGTATATCAGAGCATATAAGGCATTCACATCAGGCATTCACTAAAACTGGTTTTAACAAAACCACCGATTTTGCCCTTACCTTATATAAAGTTGCTAAGTAATGGTTTGTTTTAATTAGGAAAGGTTGGTTAACACCTGGGTGATCCAAATCATGTGTGGCAGCTGCTATTAAACTGAGCAGAACATCCCATGGAGTTAAAGATTTGGAAAGCTGTAAGTAACAACAACAAATGTAATTCTGTTAGCAACACAAGTAGCTTAGAAAAAGTGCATGGGTGTCACATTTTTGTTTTTCTTTTTCAGTAATTAAAAGCCCACAGAAACTCGGAAAATATTTTAGTAAGTTAAAACCAATATTCCACTGACTTTTCACAGTATTTCCTCCCCAAAAGCTACAAAATTCCAACAACAGTTTAAGCATTATTCTTTCTGAATGAGAAGGTTCAGTCTTAAAAAATGCTGGCACACCAAATGCTACTTTCTGGTTGGTAATGAAGTACTATTTCTAACCAGATCCTGTAAAAGCAGCAAATTCTTAAAATTAGCTCTCCATCTCATTTACCAAGTCTGTCTGTATGTGCCAATTCTGCTTTAAATACAGAGTGTGTTTTAAAAAACATAAAAACCTTTCAGTTTAAAAGGAAGAATCTAATGGTCTGGGAGACTTTAGAATTGTTCAGAATGGATTTCTACTCCTACGCAAAATTGTATTTCAAAGTCTACTAGTAAAAGAACCAAAGGAGGAAAATCTGCCAAAAATAAATATTTTCAAGAGTCGATTAACTCAGCATGAAACTGCACGGACTTATTTCCACTGTTCATAGCTCTTACTACTTCTGGTTGGGAGGTCTGTGAGTTAAATTCAGTAATAAAGTCTAGCTTGCGCTAAAACAGAAAGGACAGTTCTGCCTGCACAAAAGTGAAATGAAGCAAACACTCTGCGAGGACAGAAGTTTATATTCCCTGTTGCATTTGACATCTATCATGCCTCACATGTTTATTATGTATTTTGGTGCAATAGAACCAGTAGCTGTACATGTTACTAAAAATACAATGTCTACACTTGTATCCAAAGCATTATAAAACTTCCATCACCAGTATTAAATAAAAACTGCTCAGAGCTTCTAAACTGCAAGCCATAAAAAAGCACTCATCATGTATCAGCTCTGATTTGGCTCACTGCACCAACAATTGATCTGAGACCAGCACTGAGAAACTGAGTGGGAAGAGCTGGCAAAGAGCTTCTGAAAAATATCCATGGAGCCAGAACTTACTTGTTTGTACCCCAGAAGCAGAATAAAGAGCTATGCTATTCAAAAGAATACCAGATTGATGATAATCTGCATTGAGGTAGATATCTCACCTGGCTAGAGAGCTACAGTTTTCCGTTTAATACAGAAGGACAGGATTTAGCCCTGAAATTGTCTACGACATCACTTATATTAGACTGCCAGCAGTCGAAGTGATAAGAAATAAACATTCAACTATCTCAGCTCCTTAAGGTCTGTCACACTGCCCTTTTTTAGAAAGAAAGGCCAAAGAGAACTCCTGATGTCTTGCTAGCAGAAGCATACTATTCATTAACATCAAAGATAAGCAAACCAAGGGCAATGGTAGTTTCTGGAGAAAACAAACAAACAAACAAACATCCACCCACACAGAAAAACCCATCCCAAACCACAAACACAGGTTTATTATTGCCAACTCTGATTCAGGCTGCAATTCTATGCATATGTCCTGGGGCACAAGGCTATGTTAAATAGCTGCAATAATTAATCAATTCCCTACTCTGGTTCAACACGAAGTCACAGCAAAGACAATGCCAGTTCAGAAGGGAAAATGAAAAGCACAGTGCTAAGTGTGAACCCACAGACTCATCAACATGGAGATTAACTCCCTGCCTTTTTGTGCTCAAGTGGTTTTTTGTTGGGTTTTTGGGTGGTTTGTTTTTATTAAAAAACATGTTTATGTGCATATACACATATATATTTGTACACACAATCAATTTATATGCACACACAAAATTACATTCTATTCCTGCATGTAGATGTGATGTAAAAGTGAGAACGCTCTCTTACCTTGGGCTCTTTTAAGTAACAGTGCATGGCCTGAGTCACATCAGCAGCATGAACTGCATTATGATAAGGGTTTTGACTGTGATAATCTTCTTGAACCATAACTGCATGAAAATAACAAATATCCAGATTTAAATAAAACAGCAATTTTTTCAAGTACCATTTTCTATGTTCTTGTTCAGCACAGAAATATGCAATATCACAAGTACATACACATAAAAGCATCAAAGTCAACAAATTGTCAGTTGAACCAAGACCCAAGTAGAAAAGATTTTTATGTGAAGAAATAGTATTTTCTTCAAGGAGATCAACTATATGTAAAGTCAACTCAGAGCAAAAAACAACTTGAAATGAATATATAATGTGAGATACTTTGAGAACTTCCCAGAAAAGGCTCCCTTTGATAACCTAGCCTGCCTGAATGTTGAGACAACCTGGAACATAAAATGAAGATGATACTATTTACCAAAGCATCAGGATGACTTCATATCATGCCTTGAAAACAGACAGGATCAGAGGAACTAGGCACTGCTTTCCTGTCATGTGAAGTGCTTTTCTTTCCCCTTCAGGAGAGTGATCATGGGAAGCCACCTCTACATGGTTTAGGCATCTTCTCATACTTGTACTCAGGCGAATTTAAGCCTATACACCATTTAGAAAAGAATCTCATTTAGATGATGGTCTGACTAACCACTGCTAGACTTAGTACTTTTTATTTAACTTCTTTCTTGCTTTCCTTCTCTTTCCTTCATCTTCCTGGCTGTTTTTAAACATCATAGGTAGAATACTTTAAAGGACATCCGCATTAGCTTGAGTACGTAGAGTGAAAGAGTTTTAACGTTAAGAAGGATGGAAGGGGAGATCTGAAGCCCAGCAACGAAAGTGTATTCTAAAGTTTTGCCTGATACGACACAGTAGCTCTTTCAAGCAAACCTCAAAAGGTTTGTCCTGAGTACAGTCTGTCAATCCCATTCAAACAAACATGCCAACAACCTCTTTTCTTAGTTTACAGCCCAGTACCCTCCATGTAATTGTGACTAATGTTAGAGCATTACTGCCATGGTACTTGTGAAGTGTGGCTCATGAAAAGTCAAAATACTGTAACCACTGTGTAATCTCAATAATACTCAATGCATAGCTGACACCTCATATGGAAAATAATGAAAATAAGCATCTTTGGGCTCTATTAACCTGTAGTAGAACTCCCTTTCACCTATTCCTCACATCCAGTGCATGAATGAGGATGACCTTGGCTTAATCCTCAATTTTTTTGTGGCTTCATAGGCCAGTCCAGCTACCTGAAGTCTACAATTCTCTTAACTTATTTAATAAAGCAGACCTAGGATAGTATTTTGATCACAGTTCGCCAGAACTAGAATGGCACAACAACCCTATGTTTCCAGTAACATAGTACTTTGTATTTTCTCTTCCCCTGTTTGGGTCTGGAATAAGAACTTGAAAACACACAGCAGGAGGAGACAGATCTTCAAGTAACCTTTGGAAGTCATAGAAAGACTGTGTATGTGTATAAACAAACATATATACACACACACATATAAATATGTGATAGATATATATGCACAAAAATAAGATTATGAGATCCTACTGAGAACTAAAATCAGATTTCTCTCCTTAAAAAGATTCCAGTAAGTTCTCAAAGTGAATTTTGTGTGGCACTATGGACCACTTGAGCTGTTCTAGTCTTCTGGAATTTGATCTTCAGATTACTTTGGACTAGGGTATAAGAGGTAGCAAAAGAAAAGAATGAGTTGGGTTCATGCTAAGAAGCTGTATTTGGAACAAGGGTTCCTTGATTGGACAGATAGGCTAGGACGGAGCTAAGAAATGTTTTTATTACTGCTATTAAGTAGTCGGCATTAACAAGGGAATAAATAATGAAGGGAATAAACAATGAAGGGAATAAAGGGAAAGGTGGTGAATTTTAAAGCTTGAATAAAATTTTGCTTTCTTCCAAATGTAATCTGATTTTAGTGACTTATGGCTTTACGTAGTCATACATACTTTAAAACTACTATTACCTTTTTATAACCATTTAATTAATCGTGTCATTCCTAACTGGTCTTTCAGTTCAAGCACCGTGTTTCACTAGATCTCAACTAACCAGGAAATAAACAAGAAAGACAAAACACAGTTACAACTTGAGTAGCCTAAGACCAGATTTCTACAGTAATTTTCTTCACATTCCAATATATGAGTCCTTAAGGTCAGCTGATCTACCTTTTTGAAACTGGAAGGAATTGAGTCTACTTTAAAACCTGAAATGCAAGACAGAACTGAAAGTTTTTAAAGCTGAACTATAACTAAATGATGAAAACAAAAACATTCCCTTATTTGAAAGGGGAGACAAGCCTTCCAAATGTGATTTCTCTGCTGTTACATGACAAGCTTTGTAACCACAAAATTGTTTTCTCTGAAACTTTGAAAGCCTGCTAAAAGGGACCAGAAACTTGTTTTTCCTGCTCACTTAAAAAAAATCATCACACTCCACAAAAATAAATAAAAGGTACTGTCATAAAAGAACCGAAGGAAGTCTCACAGCAGCGTCTGTGTCTATGGTATGGGGATGCAGAAAGACAGCTCTTTCAGCTGTCAAGTGAAAGTCCCACTTGGTTTTAATATCCTATATATGGTATTTACAATTCTTTCCATTGCAACATTCCAGTGCCGCAGGCCCAAACATTTGAGTAAAATTGCCTTGCGCTCTGTCTATGCAGAAAGTATGCCCACGGTACAGTGTTTATTTGTAGGAGAGTTTGAGCAAGAAAGATAGCACCAAATTGGCACCATTAAATACAGCCAAGCTGGCATATCCAATACAGTTAGGAAACTATATAATGAACTTTGGAAATTAAGATTAAAACAAAGAAAGAAGCTGTCTAGCCTTTCCCAATAAAAACGTCACACAGTGTCGCATGTATTCCTGATTATTTAGATTTAATAAATACAATACAGCATTTGCTACAAAACTACTAAACTTGTTTACACTTCCTTGGCTTTAACATGGACATTTCTATACTCATAGAAACTTTGAGAGATTGTCTCAATCAATATAATTTAAATCATTCCACAATCTGGACTGCATCAGTACTCTTCAATCCTTATCACTAAGCTATAACCAGCACTTCAGTTAAGGTATAAAAATGAGGATAAACAGCAATATTCATCATAATAAAAAGCTGTATTTACCCAAAAATCTACGAAGTTTCATCGTATCTAACTGGAAGTGTTCAATTAGTCCATGAAGATTAAACAGATGAAAGGTTAAGCTGACTAGACTGTTTCCTAAAAATAAGATGAAAATACTAATTCATTGGAAGCCATGAAATCAGTGACTCTTTCATAAGAAATGTATTATTTCAAACAAATTGGTCACAAAAATTAAACAAGCAAATTTCTCTACACCAATTTATGACAAATATTTAAATTTTACTGCATGACAAGATTCCATTAGCTATCTCCTCTAGTAATCACCAGCATTTTTGCATACTTATAATGCATTCACCAATTGTCCACTGTCAACTGATAGGAGGAAAACATTACTGAACATTCAAAAAGCAACAGGTTTCAATGTGTAAACCCATTACAATGTTATTCAACTGTGTGGTATGTTGCATCATGTTATTTATAAACAGACATACAGCTTAAAACCAAAATACAAAAATAATCAGGCATAGGAAAAAAGCTAACCAACAGTATCGATTAATGCACACAGTACATATGCTATCTCTCATTTTCATCATGTATTTTGCTAAACGACTCCCTATTTCACCCAGAACCCAAAGAAAAAGTTTTAAGTTTCTCTAGGAAACATACACTATTACAAGCTTACAATATACTTTGCCTACTCATAGCCATAATTTTATAATAACTTGCAGTGATAAAACAAGTAAAACTGTAAGAGACAGAAACAGTCTGCAAAAGTTTATTTAAAATAGCTTGCCCATTATTTACTCTGCAAACAATATGTAGCGGCAGATAACTTGGTTTTGGTACATTGACTCTGACAATCTTCATTTAGCAGCAATTAAAGAACCTAGCACAGACAGAAACTGAGGTACAAAAGGACAAAAATTTCTCCTAAACCAACTTATTACTAGGCTTAATGTATTTTTCATGTGCACGCCACTTCCTCACAATAAGATACACAATTCTTTGAACAACATTTACCAAGTAATTTGCTTCTTACCAAGCAGAGTTTTATATACAGCATTTTCCCCTTACAAACTTTCAAGAATAAGACTGCCTGTTCAAAATGTCCTCCTAAAATGACTAAATCAGGATGCAAAAAGGATGGTACAGGAAGGCTTCCACAATAGAAGCTGTACTGATAGTATCTAAAACGTATTTGATAAAAGCATATTTAAAAGGTAGAGAAGGCCTCATAAAAAGGATGATTTCATATTACTCCCCTCTGATAATGATAAATTATCATAATCATGATAAATTATTATCATGATAAATCTGATAAACTAATCTGAAATAAGCTATGCTTACAAACAGGTTATCTTGCACACATAGCTTTTTCTCATTCAGTTATCTAGTCTAAATTTATCATTACCTATATATACACACACATTCTCTTTGTAAAAATCCTTGCTGTTTTCAGTTTTTATATTCATTTCTGTATTAAATCAAACTGTGAGGACACTACTTTTACACTAGATTAAGCCAAGCATCCCTTCAACAAAACAGGAGAGAAAATCTTCCTTTCTGAACTTCATTTCTCTTTCCATCTGCCAACTTTAAACACTCTGACTGCATCTCTGCTACCAACTCCATTCGACTGACGTAAAACCTGCAAGAGCTGCCCTCCATTCGCTTCCCACGCTGGCACAAATGTCGCCTTGGTGCTGGGCTTGCTCATCTCCTTCCATTATATTCAAAACTTGGCTTCCATTGCTGCAGAGTAGAATACAAAACACTGCAGCAGCCCTCCTTCCTCCTTTCCAGCACATTTACAGATCTCTTTACTAACTGTCTGTCTATAGGGTAACCAATGCTTTATTTCTTTTTTTTTTTTTAAAGCAACTACTTCTTTAGTTCCCACCGCTATTTGTAATGAGTGCACAAAACTAACCGTAATCTTTGCTTCCTTTTTTTTTTTTATTTTCTTCAAGCTACATGTACAACTGCTTCTGTCTGCTCAACTTCTAATTCTCTAGGTATTCTGCTAGATACCGTAATTATAAAGTGTTCATACCACCTTGCCCTCTTATGGTACTGTAAAGTAATAGAACTATTCTACTTAACATTAAATTTATCACAAAAAAACCTGTCCCATGTAACTGACCATTTGAACACAACCATATGAATAAACAGCACTCCATAATTAAAAAAAGGCTAAATTAGCAAAATTATTTGTTAATTTATACCAAATTACTACTTATAATAATAGAGAGAACAGCAACCTACAAAGTACAAGAAAGGCCTCTTCTACAAAACAATGACTGTTATCAGTACTGACAGTGATGGCATTTTAACAGAGTGGCCAGGCAAACTAGGATTTAGATTAAAGACTATTAAAACAAAAAGTACTACTTAATGAAATTTGTGCTTTTTAGCAAACAAGCAATCACATACCACAACGTCAGAGCAATCGTTGTTATGCTAAGAGATAAAACACAAATGAAATAGCAAAAGTAAACTCACCATTGGTCAGTCTATCAAAAAGAAAAATATCAAAATTCCAATTTCCAACCTTCTCCAGCATACACTGAAAGAAAACAAAAGCTGTCACATTTTTCTCAGTATATGCCTATCTTCCCATAGCCCAGAGCAGTATTTAAGATTTCAGAGACTAATACAAGTCTTAGGATTTCTATATACAAAAAATAATTTTAAAATAGTAATTGAATTTGTCTGATAACTGGAAAACTTTAAAATAGGTGTAGTAAATCAAAAACTGAAATACAAGAAGTGTCTTGACAGTACTGGCTTAAGAGTTTCCCTTCATCTTTTAGTCAATTTCTTAAAAGACATAACATTTAAAACAATTAGGTTAAAAACAGAAACAGTAAGACAGAATAACCCTATGTTCAGACTTCTGCCACTTTGAATAGTTAATCTCTGTGTAGTCTTTCACCTCAGCTTTTATACAGGAGAAATAATACGTAGATGCTTTACTAGATATATAGGCCAAGCTTTTAATTTCTTAAGAAACTGGCTGTTGACTTTCTACCTCACTGAACTAGCACTTCTTCACAGCTGCTCCACACGAACTGTTCTTCCAGCGACATGGATGAACAAAAACAGTAAACAGCACTCGAAGCCTCACCAGAGTCCAGCAGTCGCAGCCCTTGCTTCCCCTACCTCTATCAGAAATACCTGCCCAGCATGTTTTGAAACAGACACTCGCCTTCTATTCTCATTAGGCTGGTAGAGCTGTTTCAGGATCCAGTTACTACATTCTAGCTTTTCTCCACCAGCCACTAAAACTCAGCTACCAGAAGAAACAAGCAGCATTAACAAGATCCTTCTGTTGTTTAAGTGGATGCACATTTTTTTAAAATCCATCCTCCAGGTTATCAGGTTCTGCCTACACTGCAGCCTGATTATGTGCTGTATGGATACACTGCATTATAAGCATACTCCTTTTCTGCATCAAGGTTACAAACAAGAAGCTTTACACACAATCATTAAGATGACACAGCCTTTGGGATCTTGAATAACCTGTAAGCTTTGCCTATTCATTCCCCTTCAGCTCTAGCCATCCTCTCTCCCCAATTTGTTAGCTCTTCGTCCAACTAACTGTTCTTCCAGTACTGCCCATCCTCCCAGTATGCTTTACTGCAGGGCAGGTATATTATAGCTATCACACTTCTGTTTTCTAGAAGAATTGCCTATGATGAAAACATTAGTTTGGCATAATAATAATATTCTGATAAATCTATTCATGCATTTTATTGAATTTTCAGCACTAGTTAGTCACTCTTCCAGATGCTCAGTAATGAGGTTACACTAAAAAGGAAATGGCGGGGAACAGTTGTCCAGATTGCTCCATTACATTTCTTAAATACAGTTACATTTTTCTTTCTTTGCCTTTAAAGTGCATCCTCCATTCACCAGTTATTAAAAAAACTGCTAGTCACAAACTCTAAAAATCATGCCAGTAAACTTGTGGGAGATGAAGGAGTTTGTTAGAAATTAGGTAATTCTGGCTAGACCTTATTAAGTTATAGGCATATACACACACACACACAACCCCACATACATATTAAAATGCATGCTTAAATTTTGTATTTGGCTGCACTATCTCTTAACATAAGATACAGTCATATACTAGCGAACATTTTTAAAACATACTTAAAAAAAAAAGTCAAGCAACCAACCTTTGCTTGTCCGTTATAATCATCATCTAAAATGTTTGAAGAATTTGGAACAGTGATACCACGGAAAAAACGGGAAGATCTCAGGTATCGCTGGAAACTGAGCAACCTTCTCACATTTCTCGCAGACACAGACACCTCGATTTCAGAATTTGCTACAAAAAAACCCAAGAAAATAAATACTGTCTCTAATAAACCTTTACAAAAAAAAAAGACTATTCAGGGAAGTTTGGTACAAAGGCACTGCAATTTTTTTTAATCAGTGTATCAAAAGTTTCAGCCACAGAGATTTTTGTTAATAGGAAGCACAGAGCCATGGCTTAGAAAATAGTTTTCTATATAAGCATCCTGTGAAGAAAAGCAAATATTTAAATCGTAGCTGAAACTTCTCTTTTTAAGGAACTCTGTTATTGAAACGACAGCAATATTACGGTAATTGTGTAAAAACACACAGTATTCGAAACAAGTTCTTTTCAGAAAACTGTTCTCACGTATACACATCCAATCTCCCTAGCAAATCACGTAAGATATGTACACCAGCAAGAGCATATCAGTAACTGTGTGTTGATACAGGACTTTCAAGTAACTTTCACGTAGATTTTGAAGTTCGGAAATTCTCTTACCTTTACTGTCAAAGTTTTAAACACACTTATGGGATTTTCATGCTTTTGCAGATAATTATGCTCAGAACCTCTTCTCTGCCAAACAAGTACCACATTCACTGTCATAGCGCATGTAACTCCCTTTTCCACTACAGTGAAAACACTACAGAAAATTGTTTTAGCCTGTTTTCAAAGATTATTCCACATATTTTGCTTTACTCTTATTAGGTTAACGGGTTTATTCAAATGACTGATGCTAACTTATGTTCAATTCCACTTGATATGCTTGAAGTGTTTTAGAAACCTGAAGATCAAACTATGCATAGTACAGTTTCTTTCCAACAGGCCACATATTTCAGAATTAAAATACATAAGGCCAAACTTGACCTCTTCTTTCATTTCAGCAGTACCCCGAACAGCAGTTTTATATAACCAACAGACAGTCAATCTTGACATTCCCTCATTTTGCCTAAAATAACTTATGTTTAAAAATAAAGGGTAAGAAAAAACAAAAAAGATATTAAATAAGGAAAATCAATCCAAACATGCTCTTTTCCAAAAACGCCGATCCTCAAAATCAACATGAGCCCAACTCTGTAGCACAGTCTTCTTGCCCTTCCAAGAACAAGGCATATTAGAAATTGGTAAGGTAAGCAGTTATATTTTTTTGCCCTTAAAGTCAGTCTAAAATATTGTACAGGGGAAGTTGTGGCCCTATTAACAACCTCAATTAAAAACCTCGGTGATTTCTAGTGAAAGCAGTTCAATTCTATATAAGATAAAACTTTACCCATATAAATTCTTCTCCCTGCACAAGTTCCAACGTACTTTCTGTTCTGTATTAACTCTACTGATATATTAGCTTCTAATCTACACTAATAAAATGCGTCTAAACTAGAACTGACAGTTGCACGAACATACAATACCTAATCAAACATAGCAGCACTTCACATCAATAGTCTCTGCTAACAGAGATTAAATTGACAAAATTAAAATATTCTTTCAGACATGCCTGAAACGATTCGTCAAGATACTGAAGTTCCCATCGGTTTTGAAGGTCTAACACAGACAACTTCACATGAAATATCTTTCTTCAAATCATCATACTTAGGGCCAAGGGCACCTCCTCTGAAGACTCTGGTACATATATATCCCAGTTACGTAAGCAGGTGTATAAAGGTTGCTTATTAAGCAACCTTTACACGTACAGCAGGCAAGTAAATAGATTCTGTCATGCTGCATTACTCTACCAGTATTTCTAATCACATTTGTTAACATAAGCTTACAGTCTGAGCACTGCCAGCCTGCAGAATAGAGAACCAAGGAGCAATACAGCTGCTCCTGTAAACAGAGTGTAGGATTCTGGTAAGTTGTTTTTCCCCCCTCAACCTTGATCCAGTCCCTTAAAATCCAAATTCCAGAAGAGAAGTAATTTGGTTGAAATAAAATAATATAAAAATGGGTGTATTTAGATAATAAAATTATCTAAAATGTCCACAGAGTCACATACAAAATCTGGGAACTTCACTAAATCTCAGTAAAATAAAATATTTTAAGTAGGAGAAATCAGCACTCTTCTGAAAGTACAGATCGTTTTCTTGATAAGTAGTATTTGACAGATCTATATTTAAGAAAATCCTACTTTTGTTGTCATGCTACAAATAAGCCTCACTGTCACAGATGCCACCTGTTAATCTTTGGCAGAACAGTATGATGTAGGTAATACAAGTAAAGCAAGCGCTTTTGTTAGCAAAGTGCACAACAGAACACAGAAATGCAAGATGCCACCTGTTAATCTTTGGCAGAACAGTCTGATGTAGGTAATACAAGTAAAGCAAGCACTTTTGTTAGCAAAGTGCACAACAAAACACAGAAATGCGATAAATTGGCAGTATAGGCCTGTGTTCAACCTCTATTTGTGTTTATAAGTCATTTGGGGGAGTTGCACATTTTCACTTCAGTATTTTTTCTGATGATGTGGGTACAGAGACAAATGAATTACTCAGTTTTCTGTGAAACTGAGCAGTCATTACTCTTTACTTTGTAATATGCTATTGAGACATTCACCTTAAAATTATTTTTTAACTCTCTAAATTATCATCAGTTTGTATAGTTTATAAACCACTATGCTTACACATTAATCAAAACAAGGTAAAGAGAAAGAGAAAAGAGCACTGCTCCAGCTGATGTAATTCAAACGAACAACAACAAAGCTTACTTCATTCCAGCCTTCTTGGCAGCAACGCTGCTATTACAGAACCACAGAACTCCTGAGGTAGGAAAGAGCCTCTGGGGTTCATCTGGCCAAACTCTTCTGCTCAAGCAGGGCCACCTAGACCACATTGCCCAGGACCATGCCCAGGCAGCTTCTGAAGATCTCCAAGGATGGTGACTCCACAACCTCTCTGGGCAAACTGTGCCAGTGCTTGGTCACTCTCACAGAAAAAAAGTGTTTCTTGATGTTCATAGAATAATTCAGAATAGAAAAGACCTTTAAGGTCATTGAGTCCAACCATAAACCTAACACTGCCAAGTCCACCACCACTAAAGCATGTCCCTAAGCACCACATCTACATATCTTTTAAATACTTATGGGGATGGTGACTCAACCACTTCCTGGGCAGCCCGTTCCAGTGCTTGACAACCTGCTTCCAGTTTGTGCCCATTGCCTCTGGTCCTGATGCTGGGCACCACTAGAAAAAGCCTGGCTCCGTCTCCTTTACACCTTCCCTTCAGGTATTTATATACATTGATAAGATCCCCTCTGAGCCTTCTCATCTCTGGCCTGAACAGTCCCAGCTCTCTCAGCCTTTCCTCATCGGCCCCTTAATCATCTTCCTGACCATTTGCTGGGCTGTCCTGCATGTTCCTGTCTCTTGTGCACTGGGGAGCCCAGACCTGGACACAGCACTCAAGGTGTAGCCTTAGTAGTGCTGAGTATCATAGAATAGTTTGGGCTGAAAGGCACCTTTAAAGGTCATCTAGTCCAAGCCCCCTGCAATGAGCAGGCACATCTTCAACTAGATCAGAGCCTTGTCCAACCAGACCTTGCATGTTACCAGGGATGGGGCATCTACCACCTCCCTGGGCAACCTGTGCCAGTGCTTCACCACCATCATTGTGAAAGCAGAGAGGCAAGATCACCTCCCTCCGCCTGCTGGCAATGCTCCTAATGCAGCCCAGGACACCATTAGCCACCTTTGCCACAAGGGCACATCACTGGTTCATGTTCAATTTAGTGTCCACCAGAACCTCAGGCGTTCTTTTTGGCGAAGCTGCTTTCCAGCTGACCAGGCCCCTGCCTGTGCTGGTGCCTGGGGGTGTTCCTCCCCAGGGCCAGAGCTTTGCAGTTCCCTTTGAACTACTATTACTTATTTATGTATAAGCCCAAGTTAGGTAATAACAGCTCGACCAACTGTCTTACCATTTAGATCTGCAATGATTAGAGTAACTTCCAAATGAGAAAGATTCGGAGCCCTGCCAGCACTCTGCAGTTCCAGAACACCTAATTTCAGGGGCCTACACCAACCCAAAAAATAAATTGCTCTCTTTAATAGCTAAGCATTTGCTACAGGACAATTGAGAAAAGGTGAGTCAGATGTGGAGGTTTGACAGGTAATTAATTTAAAAGGGAAGCTGAAAAAGAAAATCACTAGCTGGGGGGGAGGTGGAAGGGTGTGAGAAGACAGGTTCTTCACCTGCAGGAACACTGATAGTGTATCCATGCTTAGTTTCTTTTTCCTTACAAATAAATTATGAAGGTTCTGGCAGACCAGCAAAGACAAGTTCATGGGAAGGACTGCTAAACTGAACGGTATAGTTGTGCAATGGGAACTCAGTATTTCCCTCCTGGCACAAACAGAAAACTTACTCCCTTCATATGCGTGATTAGTAAGAGAATGTCAGCCTACCCTCTTCTATCATGAGTCATGAAATAAGATGTTAATTTCAGAGACCCTACCAAGGCAAGGTTCAATAATCTATTTATAAAGGAAAGAAGAAGGTGAAGAGTGCATTACATTTGCTCAAGAAAAAGCATGCTGCAAAAACGCCCCTCCTCCCAGCCCAAACGTCCTTCATTTCATTTGGAACTTTCACTGTGCTAAACACCTTTCTAATATCCAATAGCAACCATTTGCTCTTAAGAGGTAAGGACAGTTTAAGGACAAATTAGAATGAGACAAAAAATAAACGCATATGACATTACAGTCTTGAGAACTGAAATGGAATGAAAGCAAAGTCAGGACGTTGGGCATGTTAAGAAGGAAGCTACAGCATTCAGAAGTGCCTTTGATGCAAGGAACCAGAAGACTGAAACGGCAGACCTTTGTGCCTAGTCAACAGCAGCTCTCCTATGACGTTCTTCCCTCCTTAACTCTTCATGTCCTACTGAAAGTTGGAATACCACCCAAAGTATTTATTAATTCCAAGTTATTTTAATAAAAAAATTATTGTATTCTTGTTTCTAAGCATCAAGTGAGATGCTGCTATAATAAAAAATGTCTTTCTCTAAAATAAAGAAAAAAGGAGCAATTCTGTCTACTAACATCAGT